GGTGAAGAACAATCGGGACTAGCAGGTGAAGATGAAGTGGAATATCTGGTCAGGGGGGAGAAGATATCTGAATTGCTAGTCTCGCTTATAATTGACTTACAACCAGACAGTAGGGAAGCCGTAAACTTGACATCGGAGGTACTGGGCACCACTGCAGTGTTTGCAATTTCCTCCAACTTGAACGGTGACCACGCCGAAGTGGCACAAGCGCTGTGGAGGTGAGCGCAAGGGTGGTGGTCTCAAAGTAGGAGAGGATGCCTTGAGTTGCCACGGGGTGTCGTCGGGCAATTGAAAGATGTGGTCCGGGGCAGCTAACATTAGAGTGACAAAGATTGCCTCACAAACCTTAGTCTTTCGAAGGCAATTCCTGTTCGAAGGACTTTGCATGTGAGAAGAAAGTATTATTCTGCGTTCAGAAGCTATCCTTGGAGAGACTCCCTTCCGTAGCTGAATCCATAGCGCGGCAAAGCGCACGAGATGCAGTTGGGCTGCGAGAAATGCTTGCTGCTGCACAGATGGCATGTAAGCCGGGGTAGTCTGTTGGCCGCCCCCTGCTCCATGCTCAACCTCCCTGTACGTTCGTGCCAGACAAGGGTCCCTTGTGGTTGTGTCGCTGGGCCAGTACATGTCACTGGACACTACCCGCCGATACATATGGAGCGCCAGGAGCAAACAGAACAGGCTGTTTGCGGCCGGGCTGCCACATCGAACTATCGCCCATCGTGCTGTCCTCTGCCATGGTTTTTTTTTCTTTTCCGCGGGGCTGGGCCAAGCACTTATCGAATCTAAAACCTCCTATATTGCCAATGAGCACTTCGTGAAATTGGGCGCATCTGATATAAGCCACCGGATCTTTGCCTCGGGCATTTTCCGCGGCCGCCTGAGAATGATAGATCGTAACTGTGACCTACCACGGCGTTCATGATGACCGAAATATGCGTAGCCCTCCTACAGTGCAGACATTCGTAGTAGGTCCATGCTCCTACTGAGTTTGTACAAAAACCCCGGTGCGAGATAC